GCTAGGTATCAGATACTCCCCTGAAGTTGCTCATCTGGGTGTCCTGGACAACCCCCCCAAAATAATATAGACTATTGACATTGTTCTTTGTTGCCCACCAGAGCTTGATAGTAAGACCTACTGCTGAAGACACCAAATGCTTTGAACAAATGACATGGAGAAATCAAGCTTGCAGCCTCATACCTGTTGGTTAGCTTTCATAGTACCAGAAAGTAATCAACTTGTTACCCAGTTGTGAACACTATTAACTACAATATGACCAGCATGGCAGGATATGTCCATGTGTGCAATAGAGGCAGGATGTTAAGGGGGTAACCACTGCTTTCTGATTGGATCTAAGGTCTATTCCACATAAGGAGATGCATGAAAAGTACTGTTGATTTGGTCAAGAACCCATGGTTGAGGAGCTTACAGTTTCCCAGGGTGAACCTGATATTAATTATTCTGCTAAATGTGTATAGCAGACTCAAACTCCCACAAATTCATATCAATCTACCTCTAAATTAGTACAGTTATCAGACCCCTTCAGAGAAATTTATTTGTGCAGTCAACAGTTGATGTTTGAGAAACTCACAATTGGTCAAAATGCAAAGAATAAATGTGTGGGATGACCAACCACAACATCTATATCAAGAATTCTGTATCATTCCATGTTATCTCCGTTGAGGAAGAGAAGCCAGTAAGACTGTAAGAGCCAGAGGCTTGGAAGGAGTTGAGCAAAACAGTAGCTTCTATACTCAAAAACTCCCAACAGCTTGGTTGCCTGACCAAGACCATATGAGACCTAGCCGGTCAATATTCTAGCATGGACAGGGGTATGCTCTGGACACTCAGCTGAGGCACTATTGATAGTGAATGGCTTCTGGGGGAGTAAGGGTCAGTTAATATACAGGTCCCCCATGTTCCAATGGACAGCTCTACATCCATGAGAGTATGGGCAGCACAAATTGAACTTGGAGGGTTATTTAAAAAAACTATAAAGAGGGGGTGAAGACATATGGGAGGATCTGGAAGTCAGAAGAAAGTCAGGGGTAAATGTGATCAAAATATACTATAAATATATGTGTGGAATTGTTAATAAATATAGACATAAGTAGAAAATAAATGGTAAATGGGTAAGACAGAAAAAGAGACTTCTTTAAACTTTTCATTGGCTTTTCTCATCCTTGATTAATGTAAGTCACTCAAGCTGTTTGTATATCTTCTTTCTTTGGCACTGACGGCAGTACTTGTTACTCTATGCCCAATCTAGGTGATATATAGAACTTCTCATTAGTTCCTTGGG